CCTGTGACTCTTCAATAGCGTGTACCTTTAACCACACCACGACTTTGTTTCATAGATTACAAACTGTGCAAGACTACTATTCACTTACAAGCTCGTATTCCAATGGCAGTTGAATTCTAACTCCTGTCAACTCGCAGCATATTGTCGTCACTATCGAAAGGATTTGAAAGACACTCTATTGAAATTAACGCTAGATGGTTGTAGGCAATCAGTGAAACGTTCAGCATCTTGATCTCTCACTTACTGGCATTCATCATCAAGGTGGTTCTGGGAGTGATTTCATCCTAAGAGGTTTAAATTTACTTCAACCAATTCTGTAGTCAAAGAACTCGCCACTGAACTATGCAGTAATGAAGTTTCACTCAACTGTGATGAAGATCTACAGAGACCTAGACAGTCATAACCAATTAAATAATTAATTGGTGGATGGTGACTAGTAGTGGAATCCAGGATACCGCGCATTTCGTCCTATTTGGGACTCGTTGGTATCTGGATGTACTTGCATTCTCCAATGAGTCAGTAATGGTGTTCCCACTGAGTTTCGAACCCAGTGCCCATAGTTCCAAACACCAAAGAGTTATCCAATAGACCACTTGGACCACGATAGTCACCTCTTGTGCGACGGGTCGCATTAATTATTTAACTGAATGCAGGTACATCCAGCTGGAGAACGAGTCCCGAACAGGATGAAATGTGCGTTATCCTGTATTCCACTGCTGGTCACCATCCACCAATTAAATTCTTATTACATACCCAGACATCGTCGAAGCATCTGCACAAGAATCCAACATACATGTCAACCTGAGACCGAGCAATTCAGTCCAATCAATCCACGGGAAAATCTAAAATTCAGTTAAATATTTAATTAATTAGGTGAATTCAGGATAAATGCACGCGTCTGCTATTTGAGACATGATGGTATTGCCCTTTCGACCTACACTTTTTAACTGGCGGTTGGATTATCAGAGGAAGCATTGGACACACGGTGAAAGGATGAGTGGAGGCGAAATGAAAATCTCGGTCACGGTAAAACCAAAACCAGAAGAGGTTATTCGGATTATTGACCCCTGACGCTCTACTTACACTTTTAAATAACAATTAAATAAAGAATAAATCATATGCTAAAAACAATTTATAATGTACAATCACACTTCAAGTGTACAGAAAATGCTGAGTTCTGGGTAGTTTTCTTTTCCTGAATTTCGTTTTGTTGTTTTCAACACTCTTATACCTTCTTACTTTGTTCATTTTACTTCAGTTAAATGAGCGGATCAACTTTATGATGAGATAATTTTATGCTTAAATTTGTTGTATCAGTTAAACTTGATCCACTAGCTGCTACAGCGATTCCAGCTCGTCCACTTGGTAATGGAGCTGCCTAAAAGAAAGGTAAAATCAAAGCAACAAAAGAGTAACTGAACAATTGTTAACCATGAATGCTTCAATAATTAGAAGTTGAATAATGTATAAAATTTTAAACAACTAAGGAGTTACCTGATGTTATTTTGATTTATGGTAACTAGAAAAGGAATCCAAAATGCACGTTTCATCCTTTTTAGGACACTTTATCTGGATGAACCTGCATCCAAAGTGAGTAATGACGTTCCCACTGAAACTTCAACCCGGCACTCATCATTTCAGACTTCAAGTTAATATCGACTAAGCCATAAGGCCGTAAGTATCTCGGTGGAAATATATACCACTCAACGGGGATACAGGTACATCCAGTTGACGAGTGTGAAACAAGATGGAATGTACATCGTGAATTCCACTGCTTGTCATCGTCATCCAAAATAAAATTATGTCAATCTTTAGACATTGTCAAAGCGTCCGTACTTAAAAACTGACACGTGAACAGATACCGACTATTTTGGAGTAACATAATCAATCAGTGGCAGAGAAAATCAACTGAAACAATGAGTAATCTGTTTTCTTAAAGGTCAGGTTCGAAGATGACAAAGAATTTGGAAAAAATGAACCCAGAATAAATGACACGCTTTAAAATAACTTGTCTTCACTTATCAGATCAGTCATGTTTTACCGTATAAATTGTTCCCTGAGACAATCTAAGGTCCTCAAGTCCTTCTTTCATGTTATCTCTGAATACAGCATTTTACTCATTAAAGTTCATATAACGGACGAATAGTGGAAAGTGGGATTTATGATCACATGTATTAGCACACCAGCTAATGCCTCGAAAGTGCAAACTTTCTTCATTAGTGAAATCTCTCGTCATCTGGTAGACGGATAGTGTCTATGAAATGTTTTTTTCATTCCTTCATGTTCCCAGTGGAACATAGGTCTTCAAGCTAGAGGCTTGAAGTTTCTGTAGCAGTGTTGCTTATTTTTTTACGGGATGCCCCAAACTTGCCTCTTCATCAGTCCTATTGTTGGCTTATTGAGGTAAAGGAGTGCGACTATGTTCGGGGATCGAACCCTAGACTACATGCGTGGTTGACTAGCATTCTACCGCTGTGCCATCAACGCACGCTATTTCATATACCTCAGTTTAATTTTCGTCATCTTTGCAGTTGATCTGAGTAACTGATCTCTCGCAAACGTATTTTTATCTTATTCACAACATTCGATCGTCAAAGTGCATAACCGTTATTTAGCATGTGTTACTTATTATTTTATTTAAGCATCTCTAATAAGCGTCCAACTTCTTTTTCTGATTCCGAAAATTTATTGTTACTTTGTTTGTAGAACAGGCACACTGAAACTTGCATTGCATTGGTCAATATTCGTGGTTGTCATCCTCTAACTGATTAATTTAATTACAGTATGCGGATGTTTTGAGATATGGAAGATATTATTACTACTAGTCAAAACAGAGGATAGTAAATAATGCTAAAATGTATTTCAATTCACGTACATTCTAACATTTTAACAAGCTACTTATTTATTGAAGATATGATGGAGAAGATTTGTAGCTCAGGTGGATGACTTTGACGTGGTTGTGTTCTCTGAGCTGGATAGTTAATTTGTGAAGATTTCATTGCCCTACATACTAGGCAGCATCCTCACTCCAGCGCATACTTCAATTTGATGACGTGAGCTTTTAGATTTCTCCACGAGTTTTTCAGTCATCTCTCCCCCTAGGTGACTTTGAACGTGACTCTTTGATTGCTTTTGTGTGTTTTCACACACTCTAGGCTATTCGTATTGGTATTGGTGCTGAATGTTTCCTCGACTTGAACTTTTACCCTTTGTGTTTGAGATTCCCTTCTTATCGGTTGGTAAATGTTTTGTTGTCTATCTCGATGTGTCTATTGATTGACGATTCACTGGAATACCAGACAGGCTTCTATAAATTCTCTAGCAATCTTGATATTTCCTCTGTCTAATATTTGAACGCTGGTTGTCACAGTCGAATTGATGTCCGTCTTTGTCTGTATGCAGTGAGGCGATGCGGGGGGGGGCTGTGTCATGTCTGTTGATGGCTAGTTTATGATCATAGATACGAAGACGAAGGGGACGTCCACTGTGGCCAATGTAGTGATTTTTGAAGTTGTTACAATTTATTTTGTAGATGATGTTGGCTTTATCTCCTTTCGTTGTTGAGTCTTTTGGTTGACACAGGGCTGGCTGGCTGGTTGAGTGAAGTGATTCTTTTGGTTTGTGTGCGACGTCAATTCTCAAAGGTTTGATGAGTCTTGCAGTGATTTCTGAGATGTCCTTTTATATGTGGTAGGGCGATTTTCCTTGTGCTTTCCTTGGGGGCCTATGATTTGATAGGTAGGCGGCTTGTGGGTTTATGTCTTTTGATAAAGTTCTTCTGTGGGTATCCAATCTTTTGGAAGACGTCCATGAGATACCTTTCTTCAATCTTGTTTAAGGTGGGAGTGTTGTAATGAGTCCTGGCCCTCTTGAATAGTGTTGAGTCCTGGCCGTTTATTTTACTATAAAAACATATTATTTCCCATCCTTATGTATTGTAATAATAACACGAAGTTATTTTCGAATGTACTTAATCTTATATTGATTTTATGCTATCGAATGTCCAATCATCAATTTTTATTCATGCAACTCAATGAAGCAAGGAATTTATGTGAGTAATGCCTTGATACGAGATTATGAGCAGTAATAAATTGTGCTCGAAGCGTGTGGTCATCATTAGTAAATATTACTGCATACAACTATACTGTTTGATTTTATGAAAAGAAAATGGATTTATACTCTACCACCAGAGTGTTCAAGTTTTATCCTTATAAAAATGAGACTGTTCTATGTTGCCTGTAATCGACAAGTATCAACAGAATAAGATGAAATCATATTCAGGTAGGAAGTTGCCTGGGTTCTAGTGAGAAGTCGTGTCCAGTAGGGTGCAGCAGGTCGGGTGTGAGGACAAATACTCCCCGAAGGCATTGGCTAACGGTCGTGCTATGTTGTGAATTGGCAGAAGTTAGAATTCATGGGTTGGCCATTGGGTCGGGTCCTAACGGCTTAGTGGTCTACGAACTAGCTCGACATGTAACCAGAATGTCCTGGGTTCAAACCTCGGCGGTGTGAGTGCGTACTGATAAAGAGTCCCAAACTAGGACGAAACAGCTGTCAACTACTCCCAGGTTTTCCAATGGTTCTCTAAACAATGTTAGCTAATAATGAAATCCTGTAACAAATCATAACCCTCTGCTTCTTAGTAAGTAATGGTACTCCTCCCTGGATTATTATTTCTGGTAATATCAAAGCTTCTGTTTAGAGAGCCTATATACTAAATTGAGGCAGATAATTCAACCGCAAATCAGAATAAATAGTTCGATATCATGGCTGTTATTGTTCAGTGATCTAGTAGATAACGATATATAATATATTTACCTCTCACTCACCGGGGATTCAGGGATATTAAAAAAACAGTTTATTCTAATCAGCTCACCTCGGTCCACTTGTTTTCTTCTGGATCGTATACTTCTACACGATCTGTATAAGCTTGTCCATCGTATCCACCGAGAGCATAAAGTTTATAACCAAGTGGAGCAACAGCAATTGAATCTCTTGGTGAGGATAAAGCAGATACTTCTGTCCACATATCTGTGTGCGGTTCATACATTTCAACACTAGCTGTTCTTAATGCATGTGGTTGATTAGGTGGTGCATTGTGTCCACCAACAGCATATAAGCGTCCACCGACAGCACCGACACCAACTCCACCTCGTCGATGTAGCATAGGAGCAATAAAACACCAATGTTGAGTGTGTGGATTAAATCTTTCTACAGTTCGAAGACAAGCACTGCCATCTCTACCACCGACAGCGTATAATCTATATGAAGTACAAAAGAATCAAATTACCAGTTGATAAAATCTTAAAAGTAACCAATGCAAACTGGAAGATGCTGATGGTCGTGGATATTTTAGCTAACTTTCTAATTGCTAGCGGTTTTTTATTCCTAAGATGTATTGAATTCTTCTGACTTTTACATACCTCCTTCTGACTTAATCCTCATCAGTTGCCTTTGTTTGATCCCTAATTGTAGGGCTTATCTATTTAATGTGGTTGTGTTCTCTGGATTGGTTGATTTAAATGAGAAGCTTTCATTGTCTTTCTAGACAGCACATTCAGCTCAAATTTTAATATCAGGTGAATTTGTTTGAATTCTTCATGAGTGACATTATTCTGTCACTGATGACAACCGTTGTTGTGGTCGCTGTGTGGTGAGAGCTGTCTGCTAGCCAAATTAGTCGACAGCGATTTACGTCTTAAATCTTGGTCATGAGAAAAAACAAGAACAAAGACTAACTTAACGACCAATCACAGCAGACTTTGCGTGGGTGGACACGATTCGTAGATAAATGGTCTGACCTTCAAAGAAATGGCCACAAAGAGATGACAGAAAACGACCAATCAGAAGACGCTGTTTCTTTCTTAATGATAACGAATAATAATGCACATAAAAATATGTAAATATCTGTTGATTTCCTGACCCTTGTCTTCTATCGCTGCAGCTTTACATTAAAGCTTGCGCTGAAGATGATGTCTAGAAAGACTATGAAAGCTTGTCAACTAAATCAACCAGCTCAGAGAGCACAACTAGATTAAAATCATCCACCTAAGCAATAAATCTTCTCTGTTACTTATCTTTGTTACGTTGAGATGATGTTTTTAGTGTATTGTTATAGGTCTTTCATTTTGTTTGAGTGAAATCAGTATTACACTGTAAAGAGTCGGCTTGATCCTTAACTTTTGGTGGGAAACGTGTTTTGTTGTGCTTGAGTCTTACAGACAGAGTTTTGATCTCAGGTAGTTGTGCATGTTCTCAGTGATTTTCAGGTTATTAAATATTTTGCTTAGTCAGTTAGTTTTCTTGTGCAATACTTATTTTTGTCTCTATAGGTGCCAGACAGCATTATTGAGGTATTTTCGTACTGTTCATGTGTTATTCTTGCTAAACAGCCATTCCTGTATTCAAAATATTATATTCAAGTGTCGGTTTAATTTATTTTATTTTGATTACAGCTTGATGCCACATCGTATTTTCAGTACAAGTATGACATTTTCAGCATGGATATCGGTAGCCCAAATTTTGCAGGCCGACCATAGATATCGGGTGTGCGTCGGCAGGGGTTCGAACCCCGGACCATGTGCATGGTCGGCGAGAGTCCTAACCACTGTGCCACCGACTGTTGATTGGTTTCAGGATTTAAATCATGTAATGACGTCAGTCAGAGGACAATTAGAGAACCTGAGGGTGCTGGACAGTTGTTGAAATCCTGTAACCAATCAAATCCCTAAAAACGAACACTTGAATATCAATCTGACGCCTACTAGCGACTGGCCCTATTCAGGCAGGTATTTACCTGGGGTCCCAGGGAGAAGTTGTGACCATTGGGGTACAAATGATCAGGCATGAAGACCAATACTAGTCATCATTGATATTCACTAGTGATCGCGCTACATTGTGAAATGGCAGGAGTTGGGGGCGAAGTTCAACAATAGCATCTCAGAAGTGTAAACGCGCCAAAGACCTTGAACACATGCTAGTCGTTGGCTAAGGGCACCTATCATTTTGATAGCTGAAATATGAACGCTATGCACTAACTAAACAGAAAATTTCACTCAGATCACGTTTTTAAGTACTGTTTGGACAATGTGTTAATAGATCGTTAGGGTTAGGATTAGGGTTAAGGTAATTTTTGGGGTTAGGGTTAGGATCAGGGTCATAATTAGCATTATGGTTTGCTTTACGGTTAGCATAAGGGTTGTAATTAGGCTTGGTGTTGTTTTCAAGGTTAGGGTCAGGATTAAAGTTGGAGTTGACATCATTTATCCCAATTTGTTTTCTCCTCCACATTTTCCTGGTAAGTAGTCGTCGATCCTCTTACTGCAAACCATAGTAACTCAACCGAGGGGTTTTTGAGAAGACTGCACAACAGGATAAGATAGATAATCAGTTCACAAAAACAGCTCATCTATAGTCACCTCGGTGAATACATGTACAGAAACTAGTCTAACTTAGCAACTGATACTCCTCATTATAACTGGGACGTATTTTTAAGTCATGTCAGAGAAAGATACCCTGTTCAATGTGTTTTCATGCATTTTCTTGTAAATATACGTCATTTTTTGTGCGAAAGTTACTTATTATAATGACTGGTCAGCTGAAGGTCACTCATGCGTTCGCATCCCTTGGGACGCTGTTGTTGAAATTTGCCGGAGTTGGAATTCATGGGCTAGCCATTGGATTGAGTGACGGTGGCTTAATCGTCTACGGGCTCGCTTGCCTGAAAGGTCCTGGGTTCGAACCTGGAGGTATGAGTGCATACTGATGAGGAGTCTCGAACTAGGACGAAACATCAGACTATTATGCTTGAATTTTCGTCGTTACAGATGATACTCTGTTTTTTTGTACTCAGAAGTAAAAGTCTTCAAGGAGAATTCATTTACTACCACATGTTATATATATCTGGAGCTAGTCAAGTAATACCAAGAAAAATAGTGTTGCAGTTTGTGACATAACACAATGTCCTATGGATTTTTTTCCTTCACTTTCCCCAGTGGAACATAGGGCTTCAAGCTAGTGGCTTGAAATTTCTGTAGCAGTGTTTATTTTACAAGATGGGGTTGCAAGCCTCATGCCCAACCTTTCCTCTTCATCAGCATTATTTCTGGCTTATCGAGGAAAAGGAGTGCGTCTGTCTCCGGGGATCGAAACCCGCACCATGCGCATTGTTGGCGAGCGTCCTATTGTAATGACACTATTACAAGAAGCTGGTCACATGGACAAAATGTCCAATATCAGTTCAAGGAAACAATAAATACAAGTGAGCAAGAAAATAAGTAAATCGCCCGTAACAACCAAGAGACACAGTTGTTCGACTCATAGGAGAAGGCTTACTTCATATTGAAGCCGAAATAAAATAATAAGGAAATTAGTGCATTTCACTGCGTTGGTGGATCACTGGTAGAATACCCCCGACCACCTGCATGGTCCAGAGTAAGCCCTGTTTAAAGACAAGATTGGGCGTGAAGCTAGCAACCCGCCTCCCCCCCTGCCGTATAAAATAAAGACCTCTATCACTTAAACTTCAAAGCACTAGTCTGAAGCCCTGTGTTCCGCTGGGGACGCATAACACAAAATAAAATAATTAGTACATTTCATATTAACAATCGTTCATAAATAAATTTTATTAGTTACCGTGATTATTTCTTTTGTCCTAGTTTCGACTGATCTTAAAAAACCCTCCAAAATGGAATCATTGCAGTTGAATTTTCACTTATGATTTCACATTGCTGGAAATGCTTCTATTGCTAAGGGTGGGAATATAGTTCGGTCAGTCGCAGCAGGTTCGAAACCGTCTCCACCTACTTCATCCTGGGTAACTTAGTATTATCACCAATGGCTGATGGCCTGGCACATGAAAAGTTTGTACCGGTTAACTGACTTTAAGCATCAAAAGGTTACTTCAGTCGTCTCTGTACATCACAGAAAGCTCTCTTTACAATATATCTTATTCTACAGCTTTAATATACTGAACAATTGCATACTGTTACCGACTAAATATTTATGAAATTCAATTATCACTAAAGTTATAGAAGGACTTGAATGACTGTAGGATTTAACAAATACAACAACTTACAATCCATCTAGAACAGCGACACCAACTGTACTGCGTTGAACAGCCATTGGAGTGACAGGGGACCAAGCTTTAGCTTTACCATTCCATCGTTCTACAGTATTTAAATAAGACCATCCATCATGTCCACCGACTGCATAGACAACGCCTTCTAAAACGGCTACACCAAGGCCATGTCTTGAACAATTTGAAAAGTTAGAAAAAAAATCAATACATATACACATTAGTGTAAAGAATATATGTAAATGTTATACATACATGAATGGATATTCATCTTAATTTGACGTGTTTATATCCATCGTTGCAGCCAATAAGCATCTACTCTTTATTTCTTTAACTTCTTTCTTTGCAGTGTATACTGGAACCCATCAATCAACAGCAGCAACAGCCAGCACCAATCACCATCAACGGGAGAGATTTAACAGATCTTATCTCCTTCACTTATCTGGTCAGGAAGTATTGTTTCAACTACAGGTAATAGAACGGACGAAGATGTCGGAGCTAGGCAGAGTCAGAAAGGTGAGATACGCTTTCATCAACCTGAAACCGGTTTGGCAATCTTCAGCACTCAGCATATGGAACATGATTCGCATTTTCAACACGGGTCAGAAATATGGCGGGTGCATCACGACAGGGATTTCAAACGGGATGCAGACTTTCATCAACAGCTGCCATCACTGGGTCCATACTGAAGATAAAGTGGCCAGTCAAAAAGAATAAGCAACAAGAAACTATGGGAACAAACCAACAGGCGAGGGCTGATTGCTCAACAAACATGTAGGAGAAAATGGAAATGGATCAGGCATACAGTAAGGAGGCCGCCGAATGACATCGCACGCCAGACCATTGCTCCAGTGGAATCCAAATCGGAAGCAACGAGTTGGCTGTCTTTGCGTTAATGACATGGAGGAGATGTGGCCACGTAGCGTTCTTCAAATTTTGAAAGTAGCTTTCTCAGTTGTCGCGGACCCCAAGCGGCATACTTTTGTTCGTAAGGATTCAACTGGTATGTAACTTCAAATAACTGACACGCCTTAATTTGCTTCTGTCTGGCTTACCCATTGGGAGCATTTAGTTATTCTTATAGATTTCGTATAGCTTTTTTCACGTTTATTTGTCTATCTGGTTATATTTCAACATTGTTGCCACGGCCAGGTTTTATGCCACATCGGAAGCCTTGATTTATTC